AAATCCTATTACATGATGATAACAAATCTAAATACACTCCTTGAGGGGGATTTGATTTTTGTCCACTTTATACTCTTTCAGGTCCTTATATTTGCGTTTTGTTTGCCGTATAATATATAACATGATAAAATACATAACAATACCCACCGAGACATTCATTATAATGCCCACCGGGAATACAAACGGGTACTTCTCTAGGTAAGTGCCCAGGATGAACGGCACAATTATATTCAAACAAGCATGTGCAAATATAAGAATAGTGCCTATCCTATTGGTAATCTCCAAGTGTTGGCCAATGAAGGCAAACACAGCGGGAAATATCGGGCTAAACCCAAAACTAAGCATGAGGGAACCTATCCATAAATGCAGCAAGCTCTGATCTACCGTGAGCAAGGTGATAATGGCGGTGATTATGATGAGAAAATGATAGGCAATAATGATATGTAGTTTGACTTTAAGGGCGACAAATATATTGACGCCCCGGCCGATGGTGTAGCTCAAGCTCATGGCGCTAAATATTTCGGCCGCTTTACTCGCGCTGAGTCTAATTGGTATGTATTGAAAGTATGTGGCGCCAAATTCCAGATAGATCACCTCGCTGATACTGTAAAACGCCAGGAATATACAGGTGACTATTATAATGAGCAGTTTTGGTGCCCCCTCTCGGTTGAATAGCTTAAGGGTACTTTTGTCCACAACGTCCTTGTTTTTTAGCGGCACGTATCTGTATTTCCGTATGATGAACATGATCAACAATAGGCACGGACCTTGGTGGATTAGAAATTATTGTTAATTTTAATTTATGTACGTATTTTTAAATGTGATATATTTGTTATGTTTGTTATAATCGTGTCTTATATTAATTGCTTTGCAAATATTTTATGGAAAGTTTTGCTGAACTTTTGCCAGTAGTTTTATTAAGCTGATAAATTCTGTATATCACTCTATGTTAATCTAATATTTGTTATGCATATCACTGGGAAAACCATGTTTTAAAGTCCTAGCACTTCATTTAAATAAATAGACACTGTATTAAACAAACTTCAGTGCATTATTAAATAATATTTATAATACTATTTATAGTATTTATAATATAGTTAAATATTGATATAATACACTAGATAAATCAGATTATAAATAAATCTATTTGATAAAATTAATCAAAAATTTAAATCTACCACTCATAACCAGAAAACATAATACTGTACTAATTTATAACAAATTATGGATAATTAATAATTAATACTAATAACATGAATACAATTAAACACACAATACATACCAATCATATGCAAACACCCGCTGATAAGGAAAGGGGTTTTGAGGAGTCGTTTCCGCTCCAGACTATCATCAATAGTAGTCGTGGTATTAAAGCCGTTGACAACAGCCGTAATATTAAGCCCTAGATCTGGCAACACCTGAGTAGCCCCACCGCCACCCAAGTGGGCATTCATAGGATCGCCATTAAAATCCTTTTCGCCCAACAAATAGGACCTATCGATTAGGGGCCCAATGATGGTGCCAATGCCGTAAGTGAACTGGGACAGTTGCATAATGGGACCCGATTGTTTTTGCCACATCTCGATGAGCCAGACATTGTTGGTCGAGTTCCAGGTGCCGGCGCACATACCGATCAGCACAAAGTACAGGTAGAGTTGCCACAAGTGATCCGAATAGGGTATGAATATGACCGTAAAGCCCATGATTAGCAGCAGTATGATCAGGGTGAATTGTCTGTTTATGTATTTGTATAGGAAACCGACTGTAAAAATATATTGATTATGATTAGATTGGTATTTTAATATATGTGCTCAATTTGTAAATACAGTATAACATTAAATAATATTACATAGTGTTGTGTTATGTAATATATTTAATGTTATACACCGACTGTAAAAATATATTGATTATGATTAGATTGGTATTTTAATATATGTGCTGTTAAACATTTATGTCATATTGTAATTTATTATAATGTATCACAACACAATACATTATATAAATTACAATATGACATAAATGTCAAGTAAATTGAAACGCATCTATTGCCCAAACAAAACCAAAAAAATGTGTTGCTTTTCACCGTTATGCTTTTTACATAGTTTTAGTTTTGCTATTTTATATTATAAAGTTAGATATATTAAAATTTACATCTAAATGCTTTATTACTAAACTATTGTATTACTTAATTAATTTAAAACAATATAAAAACTTACTTAAAGAGCCCATAATATAACCGAAACACATGAACGTTGAGATCAATGCAATCATATTAAGCGATGTATTTAAAGCATACTTTAAGTCGACAAATGCCGGAAAGAATGTCGAATTGCAAATACCCTGAGCAAAAAAATTATGCATGTTAAAAATTTAGTAACTATTTTGTTTAAAAATCATTCAGGTTTAACACTCACATAGGTGATCATGGTAAAACACATGATGCTGGTGTAGGCATACTTTTCCCAAGTGGTAACTTCATTACTGACCGGCTGTTTCTTCACCATCCCATTGGTGTCACCCTTATTATTAGGCATGATTTTTTGTGCACCACAATAATTATGGTAAATATTAATAAGCTATTAAATTCACACAATTATTTTATAACTAAATAAGTTATAAATAATTTTTTACAAAAAATCAAAAAAAAAAGTTACAATTACTATTCAAAAATACATTATAGTTAACACTTGTATCAAAATAACTAGTGCTAATAAAAATATATCGTTGAATGTGATATGGTTAGTTTGCGATCTCCGTGACCACCGATAACCGTGGCCCGAAAGGGATAAATACATTAGGTCACCGCGGGTATGCAGACCACACAGAGTTTGGCTGTTTATGACCTACAGTAGTTGTGCACATGTCTTTCAGTAATTATTATTTTTGCAGTCGATATGTTATTTCTATGGGGTTTTTAAAAATAGGAAAATTTTTGGCATCGATAAGAAATGCCAAATTGAGTTTGTATTTACATTAAAGCGATTTATTTAGTATTGATTTTCAATGAGAATCGAAACGGAAATACTATTTGAATTCATTGAAAAAAATATTTAATAATTTTGTATATATTTCTCTGTAATAAACAGATAATACTAATCGGTATCATATTTATATCATTGCTCTCTATCTAAGCGTCAATGAATCGCATCCTCTGTTTACTGTATTTTATTCTCAATTAAAAGTTTATATATTTTTATGAATTATTTTATTCTCTCTCTCTCTCTCTCTCTCTCTCTCTCTTCTCTCTCATTAAAAAATTTACAATAATAAGTGTAATAAATATAAAAATTTATAAAGTATTATAGTTATTGACTAAATAAATATATTTAAAATTATTTTTCCTATTGTCATTATTTTATAATAAACTTAATAAACATCACGTATAGCATTTCCCACAAAAACATACTGATACATTTGTTTTTGTAAAGTTTTATAATGTAAAATGCATATGAAATAACATGAGATATTATATAATATAATTTATATTATACTGATGTATATGTATAATCATTATAATGCAAAAACATAGTAAACTATGGAAAATTCTGAGCATTAATATTACATATGAGTACATAATATTATTATATTCTGTGCATAACTAGTATATACCGGAATTGAGACTCAATCTCGTATATAATGTACACGGTATACATTATATTTAAGAGGAGAGTTTGTTTTATTATTTAATAAATACATTTTAATTTACATTACAATTTTTAATATACTTCAAATAAATTTTTATGATTAAATATTATTAATATTGTGATGATATAATTTATGTGCCTTATATTATATGGTGTGATTTATAATTCGATATTGATGATAATTAGATTCACAATTATTATTTTGCTTTATTGAGAGAGTAAGTGAAAACTGTTTATTTTATATTATTTATTTATGTATAAGATGATCTGTATAGTGAGCTAAAAAGTATAATGTGTACATTATATAAAAAACACTATATAAATAATGAAAGTCTTTGACGTGTTATTTGGTTCACAACATCCCTATTAAATATACACAGAATTTCATTGAAAAATTATATGAATTTTTATTTTGTTAAAATGAAAACAACAACATAATAATATCATCATTAATTTAATTCACATAATTTTTTATGCTGTGCCACATATAAAGTAGACTATTAACTATCAGAATATATTTTTGTGTAATTTTCCATCAAAATACGTGATCAATAAATATATTTTAAAAATTTATTAATTCATATAACGTTATAATGAATGCCTATTATTAAGGAATCGTAAGATTTTTTCATTAATCTTTATGATAGAAATTGAGTTTAAATTTATATATTTATTGATAAAAACAGTTGTGAATTAGACTGAGAGAGAGAGAGAGAGAGAGAGAGAATAAAATAATTCATAAAAATATTAAAACTTTTAATTGAGAATAAAATCAAATAAACAGAGGATGCGATTCATTGACGCTTAGATAGAGAGCAATGATATAAATACGATACCGATTAGTATTATCTGTTTATTACAGAGAAATATATACAAAATTATTAAAAAAAATTTTTCAATGAATTCAAATAGTATTTCCGTTTCGATTCTCATTGAAAATCAATACAAAATCAATCGCTTTAATGTAAATACAAACTCAATTTGGCATTTCTTATCGATTTCCAAAAATTTCCTATTTTTAAAAACCCCATAGAAATAACATATTGACTGCAAAAAATATTATTAATGACTTTCTGTACACGTGTTGATGACATCCAGTATTTGTCGGTTTGAGACACACCAGACGTATGGGCGCCACTGGATTACATAAATAGGGAAAGCCCGGTGCCAATAGCCACCAGTGCCTCATCGCAAACTAACCATATCACATTCAACCATATATAATTTTGTTAATAGTTATTATTATAGCACTAGTTATTTCAATACAAGTTTTAACTATAATGTATTTTTAAATAGTAATTTTAACTTTTTTTGATTTTTTTTTGTAAAAAATTATTTATAACTCATTTAGTTATAAAATAATTGTGCGAAGAATATAATAACTTATTGATAATTACCATAATTATTGTGGTGCACAATAAATCATGTCTAATAATAAGGGAGACATCAATGGGGTGGTCAAGAAACAGCCGGTCAGTCATGAAGTTACAACTTGGGAAAAGTATGCCTACACCAGCATAATGTGTTTTACCATGATCACATACGTAAGTGCTAAACCTGAATGATTTTTGATGAAATTTGTTAATTAATTTTTAACATACATGATTGTGTTTTGCTCAGGGTATTTGCAATTCAACATTTTTTCCGGCATTCGTCGATTTAAAGTATGCTTTAAATACATCGCTTAATATGATTGCATTGATCTCAACGTTCATGTGTTTCGGTTATATTATGGGCTCTTTAAGTAAGTTTCAATATTATTTTAAATTAATTAATTTACTAATCAATAGTAATACAATAGTTTAGTAATAAAGCATTTACATGTAAATTTTAATTTATCCAACTTTATAATATAAAATAGCAAAATTAAAAACTATGTGAAAAAGCAAAACGGTTTAAAGCAACACAAAAAACCAAAACAAACCCGTTATCTACGCAAAGTTAAATGAACTGTAAATACAGTATAACATTAAATATATTACATAACACAACACTATGTAATATTATTTAATGTTATACTGTATTTACAAATTGAGCACATATATTAAAATACCAATCTAATCATAATCAATATATTTTTACAGTCGGCTTCCTATACAAATACATAAACAGACAATTCACCCTGATCATACTGCTGCTAATCATGGGCTTTACGGTCATATTCATACCCTATTCGGACCACTTGTGGCAACTCTACCTGTACTTTGTGCTGATCGGTATGTGCGCCGGCACCTGGAACTCCACCAACAATGTCTGGCTCATCGAGATGTGGCAAAAACAATCGGGCCCCATTATGCAACTGTCCCAGTTCACTTACGGCATCGGCACAATTATTGGGCCCCTAATCGATAGGTCCTATTTGTTGGGCGAAAAGGACTTTAATGGGGATCCCATGAATGCCCACTTGGGTGGCGGTGGGGCTACTCAGGTGTTGCCAGATCTAGGGCTTAATATTACGGCTGTTGTCAACGGCTTTAATACCACGACTACTATTGATGATAGTCTGGAGCGGAAACGACTACTCAAAACCCCTTTCCTTATTAGCGGGTGTTTGCATATGATTGGTATGTATTGTGTGTTTAATTACATTCATGTAATTAGTGTTAATACTTGTGTTAATAATTAATTGTCCATAATTTGTTATAAATTAGTACAGTATTATTTTTGTGATTATGAGTGGTAGATTAAAATTTATGATTAATTTTATTTAAATAGATTTATTTATAATCTGATTTATTTAGTGTATTATATCAATAGTTAACTGTACTATAAATACTGTATATTATTTAATAATGCACTTAAGTTTGTTTAATACAGTGTCTCTTTATTTACTTAAATGAAGTGCTAGGACTTTAAAACATGGTTTTCCCAGTGATATGCATAACAAATATTAGATTAACATCGAGTGATATACAGAATTTGTTAGCTTAATACAACTACTGGCAAAAGTTCAGCAAAACTTTCCATAAAATATTTGCAAAACAATTAATTTAAAACACGATTATAACAAACATAACAAATATATCACATTTAAAAATAAGTACATAAAATAAATTAACAATTTCTAATCCACCAAGGTCCGTGTCTATTGTTAATCATGTTCATCATACGTAAATACAAATACGTGCCGCTAAAAAACAAGGACGTGGTGGACAAAAGTACCCTGAAACTATTCAACCGAGAGGGGGCACCAAAACTGCTCATTATAATAGTCACCTGTATATTCCTGGCGTTTTACAGTATCAGCGAGGTGATCTATCTGGAATTTGGCGCCACATACTTTCAATACATACCCATACGGCTGAGCGCTAGTAAAGCGGCCGAAATATTTAGCGCCATGAGCTTGAGCTACACCATCGGTCGGGGCGTCAATATATTTGTCGCCCTTAAAGTCAAACTACATATCATTATTGCCTACCATTTTCTCATCATAATCACCGCCATTATCACCTTGCTCACAGTGGATCAGAGCTTGCTGCATTTATGGATTGGCTCTCTCATGCTGAGTTTTGGGTTTAGCCCCATATTTCCCGCTGTGTTCGCCTTCATTGGCCAACACTTGGAGATTACCAATAGGATAGGCACTATACTTATATTTGCACATGCCTGTTTGAATATAATTGTGCCGTTCATCCTGGGCACTTACCTAGAGAAGTACCCGTTTGTATTCCCGGTGGGCATTATAATGAATGTCTCGGTGGGTATTGTTATGTATTTTATCATGTTATATATCATACGACAAACAAAACGCAAATATAAGGACCTGAAAGAGTATAAAGTGGACAAAAATCAGATCCCCCTCAAGGAGTGTATTTAGATTTTTATCATCATGTCATAGGATTTGTTTTGTCAATTAGACCTTGTTGAGTTTTTTTATGTAATGAATTTTTTAATTTATAAATTATGCTATTTTTTGTTTGTGTGCTTTTTATTGGTTTACGAGTTTTGTAATTATAATTTGAATAAATATAACATTTATTTATTATTTTAATAACAAATGATAGAAATATTTAACATGTATTTTAAAAACATAAAATTATTTATTGTAATTTTTTAATTAAAAAACTATTTAAATATCTATAAATAACAAAATAAAATTTATAATTATTATACAAACTGAATTAAATTATTATATTTTAAAAGTAATTTTAACTACTATTAGTATTTAAAATAAATTACTATTAACAAACATCAGTTTTAATCAATCTGGGTCATAAATGTATGACCATGTAGTCCATCACTAATCAGTGTCATAACCAACACATAATTATGCGCCCAAATAGCCAGGTATCTATAAAAATTATAATTATTCATCGGGTACAATTTATAACAATATAACCCAATATCAGGACCGGTGGACAGCCTACTGATCATAGCGTCCACTTGTAACCGCTGGGCTGTTGACAGTATATCCCAATTAAATACTTTATACAGGGATTTGAGGGGACGGTTGGCAGCGCTAGTGACGGCAGCGCACAGCAGATTAACAGTGAATATGGCCGATATGCAGGCCATAAAAATGAGCGTGGTGGCCAACCTGGCTAATAGGTTAGTGTCCGGTGCCTGCGATATGTATATTAATATATTGGCAGGCAGTTGACTGCCTACGAATAATATCAGCACAAAATAGTTAAAAGTTTTATTAAGGTTGCTTGTTAATAGAGAGCACTGGTGGTGGCGTTGAAACGTACGGGTAAGTAGTGTAGAGTCCTGGAGCCGGTGGGCCATCGCTAGTGAGTCGCTAATCTGGATGAATTGATACCGCAGATAGGTCAAACATAGAAACCAGAATTTAAACAAGCTCAACACCACCGCCCAAAAGTCTAGTATCGCCACCACAGAGATTAGTGTCCAGTATATTATGTGTGTCACAGAATATTCTGTGTTTTTGTTGACCATGTAGTCTATGATGGGTGGAGAGCAGAATAATATGCACGAATTGGTTGATAGTTGGCATAGTAGTGGCCACGAGACATGTTTGGTGACCAGGGTCATTTGCCGGTAGTATTTAGCGCGATACCTTTCTGTTAGTAGGTTTGCGAGTGTTTGGTGTTTAATGTCCGACAGGTATTGTATGGCCGTTAGACTTGCCGTCCAGTCGAGATAGTGTATGAATGCGCCCAATACTAGAGTGACCAGATGGCCCAGCGCTAGTACACTGGACACCAAGGCCTGGTGGCCCAGCATGTGATTGGCGTTGCATGTGATGGCCCGTACGTATGGTGTGTCCCATATAATTGATGCCATATACCGCCCGATAAATAGCAACGAGGTGAATCTTATTAATCCAGAAATTAATATACGTTTGTGATATTTTTGGCGAGTTGTATAAGCGTTGAATGATGGTGATATCATAATGTAGGTTTTGGTGAGAAATTGTTCTAGCTGAGTGAAACATTGCCGCTCCTCAATGTTGTCAAATGGTAAGTGTTTATTGTTTTGCTCTAATTTTATTTTCATTGCCGTTTTTCGGAATAGTTTGCCGTTTGCGGACATGTTGGCAATCCTAGTTAGTAAGTGCTTTTTAATTTAACCAAGTATCTTGTAATAATACAATAACATTACACACTATAAATAAAGTTTTGTTGTAATTTAGTAATTTTATATTTACTTAACCTCATTCTTATTGCACTTGAAAATACAGTAAATGTAAAGTAAGTTTACATATAAGTAGTTTTATTATAAAAATTATCTAAATATATTAATATGCTTATTTATGAATTGTAAAATATACATACAATGTATTTACTGTAAATGTATAATTATATTTATTTCATTACCATAATTGTTAATTTTAGATAACTATAATTAAAAAATCAATATCAATTCAGAAATTTATTTTTGCTTTAAAAATTGCTACATTTAAACATCAAAAACTATATAACAATTATTAGTACTTTTATTAATTATATAAAATACATAATTAAATAATATCATTATAATGTTTATAATTTTATATATAAACTTTAAACTACTTTACAAACATGCCATTTAGATTATTATAATAAACATTGTAGCATAATTACAGTATATTTTATTTATAAATACCGTTACTTGTGTTCATGCGGATTATAACTTTACATAAAATTATGATCTAGAACTTAGGATAAATCTTTAGTGTAAATAATTACAACATAATATTTAAACAATCAATTTGTCTAAATTATTAGCTCTAATAGACATCGATGAAAGACGATCATAGGGTAGAACATAGATCTGGTAATAGCTTATTAACACCAATACTATTACCAAAATAATGATTAATATTATGGATCTTTTAATCATTATTTAATTGCATCTATTGATTAAAATGTTGTTATTTAATAAATATATTTAGTTTAAGTTTTATATAATATTTTTGTACTCTCTCACTCCATCCGCTGGTCTCTCTCTCTCTCTCTCTCTCTCTCTCTCT